TGCCCCCACCCCCTCTCCCGTTCCAAAGTAGCCAACCCTCAATGACGACTTTTGTCCACTTGAACAAGAAGCTCCCTCGATGAGAGATCGACGGCTGTGAACGGTTTTCCCGATACCTTTGTGTCGTAAAAATGTACAAGCTGACAACGTGGAGAGACTGTTTTTGTTGGTTGTTGTTGTTGTGTCTATAATCTGCGCTTCATGTTTACGTGCTAACGGTTCTTCTAGCTCGCTCGCATGGACGGTCAACTCTCGATCATCCGGGAGTAATGTGGGGGAGGGGTAGTGGACCGGGTTAGGGGAATGAAGCCACGTGTAAATTCGGGCTATGAAACGCATGTATTGTGCATCGATGTCGAATGCGGGTGACGGAGATGGAGAATGTGCACTATCTGTATTGCTCCTTAGAGTAATGGATGCTGAGTCAATGACCCTCTTGAGCGAGAAGCTGCTAACAATTAAAAGAGTGCATGCGTTCATATAAAAACCTACTATAATCACCCAGGAATGTCCTTAACGCTCGTGACGTCACACCACATCGATCAGCCCCCCTAATTAATATTCATGAGTAGGTGACGTCCTCTAAAAGGACACCCCCCCCACCCCCCCTCAATAATAATCATGGACAAGTGACGTCACTCCACATCGAACAGCCCCCCTCATTAATAATCATGAACAGGTTACGTCCTCCACATGGACCCCCCCCCCCTCATTAGCAGGTGACGTCACTCCACATGGAGCACCCTCCCCCCTAATTCATAATCATGAGCAGGTGACGTCACTCCACATCGAACAGCTCACCTCATTAATAATCATTATAAGATGACATCCTCCAAATGGACACACCCACCCCCCCTCCATTAATAATAATTAGCGGCTGACGTCAACTCACAACCCTCACGACAAAGGCAGAACCCTCATCACGTCACGTGATCTCCGTGACGCTGTTGAGACATCAAAGTAAAAAGGACGTCGTGATGAACAAGGGATTATAAACCTTACATGAAATCAGTCTGTGTCACCGCGCCCTTACACACGCATTGATGTAATTAATATCACGTCGCGGTCTGCTTTTCGCTTGCAAATTTAAGATGTACTGCAATACACCCGTCCTTGGACGGGCAAAAGGCGAGTCTATATTATTTATCGCAACGACATGCTTAGCCCAGAACGCGGATAGGATAATCCACCCACAGTTAACGAAGGGCCGACATTTTTGGTTTCAATTGGGAAAGTGAATTTGTGTTGTTTGGTTACAGACACAAAACTCGATGAAGGAAAAACGTTACGAAGGAAAAACATTCCGAAGGAAACTTGATAAAACGTCAATTGTCGAGAACTGCATCCTGGGAAGCGTGCAGTACAGGGGGGGAGAGAGAGAGCAAAGGTTTACGCTCGAGATTTGCTGTACTGCGACGTGTAAAACAAACAGGTTTTTTTTTGCCGAGATTAGCTTTGTAACGCTGTGTGGCCGGACCAGCATCCATCACAAATGAGAATCTGGGTGAGAAAGGACCACAGCCCGGTAAACGTACAACGTTGGGCCACAACAATATGCTTGCCCCCACCCTCCCCCATCCAAACAACTACCCTGGCTCTAAACGTGCTGAGCCCCCAAGATCTGATGAGGCCGGGCATATTCGGCCTGGTTTATACATCGAGCGTGCGAGCAAAGTGTCACACCAGCTTATGAACGCAACGTCCTCTTAACATCAACTCCACGTTGCGCTTACGGAAATAAAAAAAAACAACAACAACAACATCCTGCCATGAAGCAGGCAGGAGAACGCGAATGCGAGCGCAACGCACTGCTGACCCGGCCGGCCGAGTTTGACTCCCTCTGCCAGGGGCTAATCGGAGCCAATGCCGAAGCACCCCTTCGCCAAACAAGCACCCGACCGCCCTCTTCACCCAGCAGCGGATCGAAACACGGCCACGGAATGATTTATTTTTTTATTTTTTAAAAACCAAAAGCGTGACTTTGAGCTACGGAGAAAAAGGTGTCGCATGTTCCTGACTTCAGCCGCAGCTTGCCCTCATCGCAGATTCACCACCCCCCTGTTAAACAAGCACACCTGCACTCGGCCTCACATACCAGGCCGCCCACTCTGCACCTGTCCCCGAGCAGCAAAGACATAAACTGTCAGATGCATTGAGAATCCCGACAGCTAACGTAGCTGGACAACTGCCACGCGAACACACACGCGCATGCACACAGATCAAAGATCCCCACACCCTCCCACCCCCCCCGTATAGCCTGAACGGATTGTTGGGGCAAGTGCTGTTAGCGAGTAACACCTATGAAGACCTGCACGGCACTCGAGAGGATGGGTGGCCAGCACCACGCCCGTCCGCCTTTGTCTCCCTAGTGGGGATGTTTACACACCGCACCAGGTACTCATTTGAGGCTGAGTCGACCTAGGGGGAGGCCCAGGACCGGTTCAGATAATCGTCACCGCTTTTGGGTGGCCGCGAGCGGGTATGGAACTCGGCCCGCGCTACACTGGTCGCACTAGCGGCCTCATAGAACAAAGATCCCCCGTGTAGCCTGCAAGGAATGTCGGGGGCAAGTGCTGTTCGCGAGCTCCCCACGCGAACGCACAGATGCACAAACACACGCGGGGAGGAGGAGGAGGAGGCGCGCACACAGTTCACACCCACAGCCTCACAGACAAAACAGCTGCAGTTTGTTTGATTTACTTCGTTATTTATTTAATTGTTTGCCTCTCTTTTTGGGGGTGGGGGGAGGGTGGGTTTTTTTTTGTCTGCAAATTCCCAGTCTTGTCCAAACCTTTGCCGAAGGGGTTCAGATTTCCAAACACCACGTGTTTGCATTGGGCACCTGCGAATTGTGTGAGTCAGTGCGTGCGTGCGCGCGCTCGATCCGCGTGCGTCTGTCTGCCCGCGTGTGACCAAGGATACATGCCCAGTCTCTTGTGTCGACTGTTGCCGCATGCAGGCTTACCGCTTCCTGGAGGTAGAGGCTTAAGCCCCCTTTTTTTTTGCAAACGAAGAAGACGTCGAAGAAGTAGGGAATGCAAACGGTGGTCATATATTTTTTTTAAACAAGCGTGGCCTCGCGAAGCAACGAGCGCTGCCACCGCCAAGCAATCACGAGGAGGATAAACGAGTCTCGTCCCACGTAGCAAGCCCCCGCCGCTCTGCTAAGTCCACTTCGTTAGTAATTATGGTGTCGTCTGCTTTTTATTTTTTTAAGAGGAGCTCTATTTGTCCGCGAATGCTCGACTTCATCTCGCCATCCTTTCCCTGCTCCTCTCTCTCTCTCTTCGGGTCACTCTTCTCTCCCTCATCCCATCTCCTTTGTCCCTCCCTCCTAGAGCGTTACGAATGCGCGCAAGGGTCACGCGGATAATGCGGACCTTGGTTCCCCCTTGTCACGACAAGCGTCATTCGTGGTGTTTTGTAACAGAAAAATATACGGAAGGCCAATGTTTCGGGCAATGGCCCTTCCTTAGAGCAGAGGAAAAGAGGTGGAGTGCAGAGAGATTAACTGAACTCACGGTATTGCACATTCCATCTGGCTTCTTTACTTGGGTGTAGTTACTCGCCCACCATTCAGATATAAAGTGTCTGTCCTCCTTTCTTCTTGACAAGTTACCGCAGAATTGGACATTCTGACTGCTGACTGTGTCATCCACTCTTGGAGATGATCATGGGTTATTCATTTTTGAATAATATGGGTCGCGAAAGGCTATGCGTTACATTGACTTATTCCATAAATAAGCCATGCGTTCTATACCTATAGATAACTACCTTCAAATGTATACACCATGTATCGTGTCAGGATCATACCCCATATCTCTTACGAGGACGATTGCAATGTCTTGACGGTAAGGTTGCCTCATTAGCTGAGATGCCTGACACCTTCACTGCCGAGTACAGTTGTAATCATTACTCTCCCTCCACTCCACCGTGAGTCAATTAATTTTTCTCCATTAAGTGTTGTGGTTCAATCCGTGACCCAATCATAATTAGCACTGTGATGGTGCATGGAGCATCTGCGAGGATGCTGCCAACGCAACGTGAATTTCATACACGCGGCATATATGAATCGATAACACATCGATTTCTCACCCACGCGGTTCCGTGCACGTATCATGAGCTAAACGATCGATATTGATTGACTAATCAATGCACCGTTACTCCTCCGCAGCTGAGACCCACCGCTGTCAATGCGGGCGCCGTCACGCTCGCTGCTGCGCCCGAGAGAATGTTTCTGCCGTGAACACGCACGAAACGCATCGCTCGCTTCCTGAATCCAGGCTCAAACGCCAGCGAAAACGTTGAACGTTATGCCCTATCCACTGCTGGATCTATCTACCCACCGCGTGCACAAGATGGGTTTTGGAAGGATTTTTCTATTATCGACCACACACACACACAATGAATCCGATTCTGGAAAAAATATTCTATAATCGTTGTGCCTAGCCTTTGCAAACTCTAAAAAGGCATATGACTCAATGGAAATTGACACAATCATCTATGCTCTCACAGAATTCAGAGGCTAAATAAAACAATATTTAGAAATCAGAAAATACCATTTAAAATTGGAATTGATCGCACCGAGAACAAACTACGCTAATGATTGCCCACGTCGTTGCGCAGAGCAGTAAAATACACATTCGAAGAGGAGACAGACAAGAAGGCATGCTTTGTATGTATGTTTAACTTATTTTGCACCGTACGGAGCCAACGGTGCTAATCCGAGGTCCTTTCGTGAAAGTGTAACATTACCTCTACAGCAAAGCTAATATGTGCTCAATAATTCGGGCCGCACCAAATCAGTAGTCTGCCGTCAGCTACTGAACAATCTGTGAAAAAAAAAAACATCTTTGTCGCTCATCGGATTCCTCCAGCGTGAACGCACATTCTGATTCTGAAGTTACCCCGAGCGGTGACAACCTGCGGACAAGCGACGGCGAATGAGAAAGGGCGCTTGTCCTCCCGCGCGCGGTGCACCGTGGGGCCATGCCTCTCACCTTCGAGCTCTCGATCTCGGAAGGGGTCTTCGAGCTTGCTGCGCGCCCTCGCGTTCCCATCGCACTCGGGCAGCTTGTAGCTGCCGGTCGAGAAAGCGAAACCGAGAGATTCGTTTTAAAATCCGTGCCGTTGGCGCATTGGTCTACAGACCCACGGCGACGATTCGCGAGTCTCCCCGTCGAGCCGCCGGTGGACGATGGCCTTCCCCCAGTGTCGTGTTGCGGGACCATACTTCACCCGTTCAGATGTATCACTCGCCACTGATGTTAGCCGTGGCCGGGAATCAAACTCGGATTGCTGCGTCCGTAGCACAGACTCCCCACGCTATGCACGTGCAATGCTGGTTGTAAGCGCACATTGTTAAAGCGCAGTTCTGATATAAGCTCACGTAACAGTTGTGAGCGAAGGTGAACGAATCGTACTTCTCAAATAAGCACAGCTGATTAGGTAAGGGTTAATCACTCTTTGTGAGGGGGGGGGGGGGTTGCGGCCTTTGTAAATTAATCTCTATGGCTTTATATTTTGCAAGGAAATGTTGCGCTTGGGTTTTGGCATAAAACTTATATTTGTATTTTCTTCTTTGGTTCTTTCGGTAAAATTTCGATTTAAAGCTTTCCAAAAATCGGCGCCCCCCCAATGCACAACAAACAGACAGACAGACATGCGTGCATCTCTTTGTGTTAACGAGGCAAGGAACCACATTGAGACAAAAAAAATTCGTATATGATCCAGGGACATCTGGGGCACAAAGTAATAACCTGAATACGTAAACAATCTCTTGAAAATCGCACATCATAAACCTGATGTACAATTATGATCGTTGAATGATGATTCTCGAAGTAACTTTATAATAAAGTATTGATTAATTAGACAATGCAAATGAGTATAATGGTGGTGCCGTGGTTAGTGCATTGTGCTATGAAGCAGGTGACCTGAGTCCAATTCCCAGTTCATGGCTAACATCGGCGGTGAGTGATGTCTGAACTCAGAATATTTATTCATACTGGAGGAATCCGATGAGCCATAAAGCTCTTCACAGATATCCAGTAATCTGGTCCTGGGTCATCCGCTGTCCACCAACCCACAATGATAAGCATGGTCACAACAAGTCTTATTAGCAAAAGGGCTTGCACATTATCTTGAATAATCCATGAGTCATACGTTTGCCCACATTACTTTCCAAAATTGTCATTTGCAGATATATGTTTTATTCCACATAACAGTTCTGAAAGAATGAGAGACAATTAAACATCATAGATTGCACATCTTAAAACACTGGACCTGTTTAATAGTCGATCTAATCAGTTGCAATACTATTTGGGGCATCCGTGTAATTTTTCGAAGCAGCTGTGTTGACACCTCACTGGTAATTGTAAGTGCATGGCCCGGTTATCTTTAGGGCAGTAAACATGCTTGGGATCATTAAAAGTACCAGCTGGTTGGCACATTTGGATTGACGGAGATACTCGACAGTTCAATATAAATGTTAATGTGTAATATTATTCAGGCTTAATTTGAGGAATTGATGTCGAAATTGAGAATTAATTCTCTTTTTTTCCATGTGGCTGTGGCGTCTTTTTTTTTCTCTATTCTGTTTACTAACCTCAACTTATTAAAATGTTAGGCGAAACTGCTGTCATTTCATTTGTGCAGATCCTAATACCCATATTTCATCATCATCATCTACATGATTTATCCACTGCTGGATGAACGTATAGCTCCAAGCCGGTGGCATCTCTCATGGTCTTGCAATGTCAATTCCATCTACACGAGCAGATTCCTTCTCCGTGATTTGATGTTCTGTTTGGCGTGTTCCCTACTTTGGCCATCGTTGATCTCATCCACAGACCATCGTCCCGTCTCGCCACGTGTCCTGCCAAAAACACTTTTCTGGTTGTGTTCCGTTTTCTCTGTCCACTGCCCATGCTACCTGATCCACATGTCAAAGGCAGGAAATAAGTAATCCGTTTCTTTTTGTTAAGTGTTTATCTAGACCAAATAATAAATTTTGCATGACAAAGTAGCGATAAATACAGATAATAGGATGAGTCGTGTTTCGCCTCCAGGTCACTCCTCTTAATCGTATGCGGGTTCAGATAACAGGATGAAATTAGTGCTTTCGGGAAATCATTAAATGGGTGACTCAGCCAAGTAAAGGCTCTATACCCAGGTTGATCTTCTGTCGTTGCTGGACCCCTTCTCTCATCCGCGCATCGGCCAAAACCAGTGTCGTCACTGACTTACGGATAACACATGCTTGCATGGATAAATTACGGCGCGCGGATCACAGCACGCTCGTGTAATAGCTGCATAGCTCATTGGATTCCTCCAGTCTAAAGGAAGAATCTGAATGTGTTCACAGATATATAGGGGGCACCGTGAACGAGTGCCAGTTCTTGCCACACAACAGGTTTTGGCTAACTTTCAAACAAAGCCATTTGTGTAAAATATATCTAAAAGACGTGTGTTTTTTTTGTATCAAAAGCTATGCAGCATTCCACTGTACAGTGTATGCTTCTAAAGACACTTTAGCAAACAAGTCTGTCGTCACGCGAGTTTTTGTAAAAAAAAAAACTAACAATGGGCTTAACTGTATTGGTTGGGCTATGAACTAAACAGCTTCTAAATTATATTCTTGGTTCTTTCGGTAAAGTCACGTAGAAGGGAAATAATGAAATAATAAAAATACGTGACTTTACCGAAAGAACCAAGAATATGAATCCCTGCAGTCACGAAAGCTTTAAATCAAAATTTAGCTTCTAAATTGTATGCATAGGCCTTTATACCATATACGATACAAATCCGGTTGTGTGTTAAGGTTATTTATGATGATGATGATAATAATACAGAAGATTGTAATCAGATCAGAAAGGGTTTTATCAGAAAGGAATGCGAATGGCAATGGCAGTGATACTGCTGCTGATGGTAATATGAAAGTAACAAAATATATTTCCCTGTACTCCACCAATCCACCACTGTATGGAGGCTTACAAATGTTGGACATGTGGGCTGTTTGATCATAGTTCACCACTCTGGTGAGTGGTAATTGGTTTAGGGTTGTGCCCAAGGACTGCTCCAGTTATTCCTCGCCACTAACCACGTGAGCCATGGTTAGGATACGAACCGCGGGGTCACCGAGTTTTGCCGCGCACTGACCTAAACACTGTTCCGCAGCTCCAATGTGCAAGAGCTCACGAATTTTACAACGTCTGTTCAGAGTTTAGCGAAGCTATTCGCCGTCGAAGTAGAATGCTCTCACTTGCATCATCACCGATGCAGTCGGGGATCGAATGAATCCCCATCGGAAAACCACCGCGACCTTCGGGTTCCGCAGGGCAACGCGCCAGCCATCTCGCCCGCCGCTCAAATCCAACGCAACATACCGGTCACGACGATGGTGACGGTCACCACAACGGAGTTGATGGCGTGGCCATGCTAATTCTCACCGTGCGGACGTTCCGGGTATGGGCCTCCCCGTGTCCACGTACACGCACCAGCAGTAGCCCGTCGACTGGTGGCACTGCACGGGCCTGTAGACTCCGCCGGCCGCACACTCGGGCACGAAAATGCCCTCCCGCGGGTTCTTGCGCACCTCCTCCGTGGCGATCTGCCTCTCCTGATCACATGACGGGTTCTTGTCTGCGTGCGCAAAGGGGCAGCCGAGAGCGTTTGTCACCTGGTAGGGGTTGTTCGCGTTTGCGTGCATAGGGGCGCTTTCTTAATCTTTTCCCGTTCCGATGACGTACGTGTACATCCTCAAAACGAAACCGGAAGAACAATTTAAAATCATTTCATCGGTACCGAGGCTACCGCAAGGCCATGCACGGAGCGCGTTTGGCATATTTTGGCGTCAGCTGTCATCGAGTGCGGCCGTGTCGCCACGGTTCTCTGCGGTGAATACAATGTCCTTAAAAACAACGGCGTCACGCCTCTCTAAAATACAAAATTAACGCTGAGCCGCTAGCACGTTCCTGAAATTCAGCTGTGGACGTGGACGCCCACTCTGCAACTTGCAGAGACGTCTCAGAACAGGAAAGGGTTAAATGCTCCAGCATCTTAAAACACCTCGCAGGAGTACATCTCATCATAGTTTTGTTTAACTTTTGTTTGAGCCGAGGGACCCCCCCCCCCCCACCGCCCGCCCCCCTTCCTTCTGCTCACAGCTCTCCTTGTGTGGCACGAAGTGGTGAGTCACCCGGCCTGCGAGCGAGCATTCGTCTGCCATTAGGAGGGCGTTGCTGCTCTCTGTGGTTCGTCCCAATCAAGCAAATCTTTTCGTAATTCTTAAAATTTGGCGAATTTTTATGACGTCTGCGGCACACACAGCCTACTCGTGATTCGTCAAATGCTATTGGATATTTAGTGTGCACTGCGATACAGGCGGTGCGTGACGATAGCTAACACTACCACAGTAATAACCAGGGCTACCCGGGGTCTTTGACGGCAAACCTTCGTAGCAGCTGGCGAACGCACACGTGGTGCGAATGCAAATCGCTCGGGTTTCCCGTGGTCACGTCAAGATTGGGGGCTCAATCTCTCATCTAGAAGTTATTTGGGATGGCTCGCATCGATGACGATGTCCACTATTTCCTTGCCTCGATATTTAACAACAACAACAGTATTCAGGAGCGTAATCTTGAAGTGAATATTTTCTGGGTCGCTGCTCGACTGGAGTAGACAGCACGTGACACGTAGCCACAGCTATATAACTACCGTAGGCTTACAACACTGAATGTGTCGTCCCATCTATACTGCGTTGACCACCCTCCCGCAAGTCACACTGCTCAACATGTATGTGTGTCTGCATGTTGAACTTATTTCGCACCGTACATAGCCAACCACGCTAATCGGAGGTACATGGGAAGGACAACAAATTACACACAAAAAGCAGTTCCAAAGAAATGAGTTTTCAATTTAGGTGATTTAAGAGTGCATAGCTCCAGTGGCTTCCTAATATCGGAAGGAAGAGCGTTCCAGACGGCCGCAGAAGCGCATCTGAAAGCGCGCGATGCGGTGACCATCTCTGTTCGATGGCCAGCCAAAAGCCGCTCTTGCGAGGATGAGCACCGGAGTTCATGTGATGGTTTATGCTCTTTGAAGAGATCAGCGAGGTATTGTGGTTCATTTGTGGAAGCATCAAAATTCCCTTCCATCATCTCATTTCCCCAGCTCTCAATAATAATAATAATAACCTCACTATTCAAGATACGTGTTGAACTTCAATACCGTTGTTTGGGCCTGTGCTCAGCAATTGTGACTTTTAAAAAAAAATATCCGTATTTTTTTTTTTTAGACAGAGAGTGAGAGAGGGGTGCACTAGATGTGGTGTGCCGGGTACGCTCGCCCACCCCCACACACTCGGCTTAAATTGACTCCTCAACGGTCGGGACGTGGTCTCTATTCTGGGCCAGGTTGACCTGGGGAGAGAGCAGGTCTTCGCTTGATGGGTCTGATAAAGATTAATCGTTTATACCAGAGTATGGATCACTGCCCATTATGCTCGCAATAACCGTAACAGTGTGGGAGGAAGGAGGGGGGCGACTTTACGGGCACTTTCACGGGGCTTAAAAAGAACCATTACAGTGGTGGGAAAAACGAAATTGTCTTCAGCACGGTCATTTTCAAATTGTTATTTATATTACGAGATGTAAGAGGGGAGTTTTTACGTGTTTTTTTTTTTCGGCAAACGTGAAGAAAGTCGAAAGCCGCACAGAGACAGATGTTGATATGTGCTAATGTAACGGCGAGTTTTTATTTTTATTGATACGTGCGTATGACATGCGAGCGGTGTGACGGTCATCGCGTTCTCATGAACATTCCCGCGCGCAGCAGCCGCTGCCACGCAGTCCGACTACGCCCGCGAACGTCAGCTCGGCAAATCCGTGGCTCGCAGCGCACAATGCAACCTCTTCGCGAGAGACGCATTTTACTTTTTGCGACCCGTTCAAATTGAGCTCTTCACTCGGCGACGATCGGTTGCGCGACGAGTCATGAACCCTTTTGGAGAGAGCACCGCTTGGAGGGAGGTGGTGGTGGTGGTGGCGGTGGTGGCGGTGGTGGTGGTGGTGGTGCTTCTTCTCTAGGCATAACTAACTCACGGACGCACTCCAATTCTGTTTTTGTTTACGAAAAAATAACAAGCTGAGCATTATTCCTTTGTTCTAAATCAGTGTCCAATCACTCGTGAATGGAATGGCACTTGATAAATTCCCCTTAAGCTTTGATCTCTCTTAAACGGTGGAAAATCTTGAGGGTACAGTATTTATGTCTGCCTCCTGTCCTCCAGTAAAGAAAAGCCGTGCAGTTTTGCCCCGTCTCGGTTTATTTTATCCTTTGGTGCTTGAGCTTGATTTTTATTCTTGAAGAAGGGGAAAATAAATATATATGTGAGGCTGCCTTGCCACGGAGCGAATACTTTCTCGCATTATGTGGGTCGCACCAAATTCGACAGAGGCAGCCGAGTAGTTTGATGTCTTCAAAAGAATGTGTATACGTGGACAATTCAAGAAAGTAATTCGGGGGAAGGAAAAAAATAGACGAGCGGCGAATCGTTTAGATTCGCAGGAAATATCATGATGTCAGATGCCACACACACGGGCAGCCCTTCTAAATTACCTGCGCGCATGAAAAATTACTTCGAAGCGTGCATGAGTTAAACAAACCATCACAAGTGCACGCAGGGTATGGAATGAGCCTCTCAGTTTGCCAAGACTGCATTTAGCCCAATCTATTTCCAAAGAAACGCCGCGTCTGTATTTGAGGTCAAAATAATATCTTTGATAATTCCAAGCGAGTGATTTATCGCACCTGTTTTTAACCTGAATAAATATCGGGGTAGCGGTGGTGCAGCTCTTTGTGCACCCGGTGACCTGAGCTCAATCTCTGGCAATGGCCAACATCGGTGGCCAGCGATATTTAAAGAGGCCCCTCCTTCACCGATCATCACTGACCAGCATGGTGAAGTACGGTCACAGAACCCCCGTCACTAACACGGTGTGTGGGAGACTCTCGTCCACCAGAGGCTTGGCACAGATGGCTACGTACGGTGCGAAAGAAGCTCAACATACGTACGTACAAACATGTATTATTACTGTTGTAATTATTAAACACTCTCAATATGGCAACTAATTAAACATTTTAAAGCGGCTAATTTGTCACAGTGGCAGAATTCAGCTGTGTGCGGTGAGCCTCGTTCAGGTGGTGGGCGAATATGAAGAGATACATGCGCCATAAACACGTTCGCAGCGGGCGTGGGTTTAATGGAGTTCCTCTCAATTTTAAACGCACGTGCTGCGGTACAGAATGCACACGTTTCAATGATGAAACTCACACGCAGGCAGGGTGCATCAACTCCCCTCTGACAACAGTCCGTAAATGGCATGCACAGGCAAGAGAGTCAAATATACAGGGTGCTTCAAAAAAGATGTCAACACTTATGAGAATTTGCAACAATATCACACGAAATGTGCCTCGGGGCTTTGGAGGCCACCTGGAGAAAATTCCAGGCGTGTGTTGACAGTGATGGCGAACAAATGGAGAGACTCTTTGACATTTTTGAAGCAATTAACACACATTTGTTATCATGTTAAAGTGTATTATCAGTTCTTTTTCCATTAAAAACCGATAATACCATGTAAGTGTTAACATTTTTTTTGAAGCACCCTGCATTTATTTAAATGAAACGCTATTCTTTTCATATATATATATAAAAAAAAAAATTCGGTTTCTTTTTCATAAAAATGAATGTTCACAAAGGTGAGAGGGTCAGGCAGGTTGCCACAAGCAGAGCACATGGACCGGATGCTTCCCAACAGCGCGGGTTCACCCATTGCGTCAGTCTAACGCTCTCCTTCTGGTGCTGAACTCTCTCTCTCTCTCTCTCGTGTTTGGACGTGAATTGTCTCAATCCCAGAGGTTTACTGCTTTTCACAACCTGATGACCACTGTCAAACTTTACAAGGAAAAAAAAACGTGTGGACAGCCATACACCAAGAGCATATGTTGCGAAACTAAAATTGCTCTGAAAGCATTTTAAAATGTCATTTCAAAAGCCCCCAAAAATATACAGGTTATGTTTGTGCAATGGGCAGTTTAAAAAAATAGTGCTTAGTAAAAGTAAAAAAAAATGTAAGGATACTCTTTGGTTCTATTGGGTAAAGTCACGTGACTTTACCCAATAGAACCAAAGAGTATGGATCCTAGCAGTCACGAAAGCTTTAAATCTAAAATGTAAGGACTCTATCTGCAACAGTTTCACGTACCACAGGCTGGGAAAGAGTGATTTAAATAAATGTAAGACCAAGGCTGTACAAGTCGAGTCCAGCTATGAGAGGTTTTACTACATACTACATAGGCATGTGTTTGAATACTGATAATAATAATAATTTCACCTTGTAAAATGTGCACGGTGTTCACTCACTCTCAACGAGAGAGAGAAAACGACATCAGATGCGCGAGGAAGCACAGACAAGCTGCCAGGGCAGCAGCCAGGCGGTAAGCCACACACCAACAATTTGCCCGAGTCCTGCGATCCTCTATGTTTTAAGGTCTTAACGGAAGCTGCTGCAAAGGTTTAACAGTGGGAAATCCCCGTTAGCAGGAGCCAACCTCCGCCTAAACAAAAAAAATAACACTTTTTGTGTTTAGTTTGTTGTCCATCCCACGCACCTCCGATTAGCACCGGTTGGCTACGTACAGCGCGAGAGAAGTTCTAAACACATACATTATTGAAAACTATTCTGCTACGGGTCGGGGAGTAACCCCCTGTGCTCTCGTCATACCTGGACTCCTGTGCGCTGTGCCGTTCGGCTTCATTTCCCGGCCTCTCTGGAGATGATTACGCCAAATGGTGGGACCGCTTATGGTCTCTGATTGCCCGGCAGGTCGCGTCCAAAGGAAACACAGTCATTCGGGGAAAAGAAAACGCACGCAATTAATTACAGAGCAGTGTCGCATGAGATGGATTAATATTTTCTTAACGAATAACTGCAATTTAAATATTTCATATTCAGAGTCAACTTCACTTGCATTGCTTTTGAAAATGTCAACTTCCATGCAGTGCACTTCTGAGAACGAAGATCGCTTAGCACGTAACGCCGTTTGAAGTGAAGTGTGCTCTCCCGTTGACGTTCAGAATGTCCTCTCTCAAGCTTCCGTAACTCAAGACGCCCGCAGTCGTGCGTGGCGAGAAAGCTCGACAGAAGAAATGCTCAACGTTTGGCTGAACCCGGAAGACCACGCACAGATCACGAGTGACTGCCAAACCTACATTTGAAACCCTCGTTGAATAAAGTTATTTTTTATTTCATCAATGTTGCTCTTGATCAGTATAGAAAAAAAATATTTATTCAATAACATAACGACGTCATTTTTTCAATCGATCAATCTATGTTTACTTGTTACACGGAAAGTATCAATCAGCCAGTTATCCAGCTCGCTTGCAATAGAGATCTGTGGTGCCATCAGCACAGAGCAAAACAACAATGCTGAAGCGATCCGTGTGCAGAACGGGAAACAGCGGAAAAGAACGCGTCAGAGGTGTGGGCAAAAATAGTGCTTAAAGAAGAACAATTAACAACATTACAACATTAACCCTTTCCCATTCCATTACGTTGGATCAAAGGCCATGCGGGAGGGCGTGTGACACAGTTTGGCGCCAGCTATCATGGAGTGTGGCGGTCGTGTCGCCACAGTTCTCTGCGGTGAGCAACAATTTGTTTAAAAAGGCTCTGCACCTCTCCAAATAAAATTACCGCTGGGCCGCTTGCTCGCACGTTTCGAGATTGAGCGGTGAACGGGACACCCCACCCCTGCAACTCGCAAACGCCTCGGAACGAGAAAGGGTTCACCACGCAATCGACAGGGGTAGTGCACCAAAAACAGGGGTTGAGGTAAACGATCGGTCGGGAGAGGAGACGAGCGCGAGCGAGCAAAGGAGGCAATGGCCGCAGTGTGGAACGTAACAGACGACGGACGGGTTGGATGGTCCTGCGAAGGTTTTACGGTTTAAAGCGATTAGAGCTCGCGGTGCCCGCACGCACACGCGGGAAGAAACGTCGAAATGGTTGTTTGGACAGGCTGAGTGTGGTGCTGATCAATGTCAAGATCAGATGTAAACTCTGTAAAAAATATAAAGAGGTCTTGGCTAAAAACGCTAGGACAATAAAATGCCCTAAAAACCTTCAAGGAAACAAAAGTGCTGTATTTTTTTATATATAAGCACGCAAGCTGGGTCCAGATAAGCGTTGGCACATTTCTTTCAGTTCATACTTTGCACTGCTCAAGGCTGTAAAAAAAAATGGTTTACACCAAAAAAAAAAACCTCCATTGGTTTACATTACAAAAACAATACAAAATGACAAAGACAAAGCTCTCCCATTAGCCCTGAGTGGCACTGTTGGGGGCTGGTGCTGTGACGAGTACCCACTGAGGCTATCGCGGCAAACGAGGTGCTGGAGTAGCCAGCACCAAGCTCGGCTGCCTTCGCTTCAACAGCGATCACGTTGACCACAGCTCCAGCAGAAGTTTGGTGATGTTAGCAAACCGCACGGAAGCCTCAGTTCTGATATAAGCAACATATGCTTACGCCATACTGGTGCAGGGGGACAGGGGGGGACGCAAAGAACAACTTCTGATACAAGCACCCTGCTGCTGTTATAAGCACAGCTGGTCTCGCTCTCCAGGATGTGCTTATATCCAGATTCTCGTGCATTATTTTGTTTTATTGTTGGGACGTATTTGGAACATAGTTCACCACGCTGGTCAGTGTGGGTTGTTGAAGGGTGAAGGGGAGGGCGAGGACCAATTCAGACATCACTCACCACTGATGTTAACCGTGGCTTGGAATCAAACTCAGGTCACCGGGTTCATAGGAGAGTGTGCTCACCGCTGCACTGCCACTCCCTCCTTACGTAGGTATACTTACATTCATGCGTGCATCATTGCACACATGAGTATAGGAGGTCCCTAGCTCAATAAGCTAACCACTACGCTACCACTCCACCCTTCTCTATTAAAAAAGTCGAAGTGATTTCCTGCTCAATAAGCATGGAGGCGGCGTTACCTCATGATGATAGGCCTGAGCCAGCGGTGGAAATTTCACATTCCTATGGCTTTGGTGAGCCTACCCATAGATCAACCACTCATTTAATCGATCGCGAAGGAATAATGACGCGATCTCAACACCCCCACCCAGGATTTGAACTCGAAACCTCCCAGTTGCCCACGTGGCTGAACCACCCAGACACACACACACCGCGCACATACGAATATAAACCATTTAACAGCATGGACAAAGGGGCCCCCGGTTCGAACGAGGTGTGCGCGAATAGGATCGTCGTGCCGATGGGCCTACCTTCTTCCTCTAAGGGTAGCTGGGACTCGGAGGTCGGTGTCGGCCTTGATCCGTCTTCTGGGTGGAGAAGGACAAAGAAGCGAAAAGAATCTGCCATTATAGGGGTAAACGGTGTCTACCCTTAGAACAGAGGACAGATCTAAACGTTACGCTTTGCATGAGTGTGTTTGAACACAGCTGCAAAATCACCGCTGATAAATAAGCAAAATACAAGTGTTGTGCGCGTGCGTGCGACTGCGTGTGTGCGCGTGTGTGTGCGTAAAGCGTCCGCCGCATGCACGCAGCAAAGCTGCACCAAGATGTTGCTTATTTAGGTAATAAATTACGACTATAATTGATCAATTAACTTTTCTGCCAAAGGCAAAGGATATCGTATATCACGCATTTGCAGTCTGCCCAGCGCACGAGCTTAACGCAACGGCGAGCATATTTCAACGTAATGTATCAATTTTTTTTTAAGTGAATAGCCAGCAACCCACATTGGTTTATAAATGATAAACAGAATGATGATGATTATAATGGTTAAAAGAAAATGTAATAATTTCTCACCTTCTTTGCCAGGTTTTTCAATAGCGGTTGATCGAGCCTGAGAGCCTGCGGGGAAAGGAATTTTAACTCCACTCCGTTAGCCGAAAAACATTTTTTTTTCGTTACGCTTTGCATTTAATTAGCTATGATTCACCTTTACAAATAAATGTTTCCACGGAAAAGGCAAGTGTCTTGAGTCACCATTTAAAAATAAATAGCTGCTTGGGAATTCGTACAACATTTCCCCGTAGTATTTTTTTGTGCACTTTCCAACAGAATATATCACCTTTAAATTCTACACATTATTCAAAATAAAGCATAAAGCCTCACGGCTGCTTTGTCAAAAGAGGCCGGTGTGACTTTTATCACAAAGCACATTATGGCTTTCTCGGCCACGTGGGGCGCATTAATTCGACGCGCGAGCAACATTTTCACAACGCCGCGAACCAGACAGCCACGTTCCCATGGCAGTCAATTATCTCCGAGCGCAGACACGCACGTCATGATATACTGAGAGCAACAAACAGCATGCGTGGCTGCGGCTGGGATTATAATTGCACTGAGATTCTTGTGTTCGTGACTTTGTGTGACCCGTCAAAACAGAACACAACAGCGATCTTTTACTTAATGATTTTCAATTTTTTTAGACGGGTCTGTTTTTTTTGTGGTAGGCGGTGGGGGGGGGAGAGGGTGGGGGCGTGGTGTAGATTTTGGTCCAATTTGCCATTGAGTAATGTTTCAGTGTACAAGGGAACTGCCATTGCTCAGATAAATCCTGCACATTCGAGGGGCTACAACAGGTGGCTGAGGAGTGGGGCTGCGACCTTGATCATTGCGGTGGTGGCTTTCGCCCCCTTCGCCCACGTGGTTGTGTTTCTCCAGCTACCGGGAATGAAATTGGCCACACATCCCAAATGCATGACCGTCCTGAATAAGAGTCCCGATACTCGATGAGCCTGTTCTGGTTTACAATCAAATTGGCACGGATAGGTCGGCGGTAAGATTGCTTTCCTTCCTTCTGCTGACCCCCCCCCCCCCACCTCAAAGCCCTACAGGTGGTGAGAATCCCACACACCATGACTTCAGCATGATCCACGACTCCTACTTGCCGGGTACCAGACTCTGGGTGAATTTGTCTTCTTCTCATTGGGGTCGACTTCTCGGATTTCCTTTCTCTCTTGCACTTCTACTCTGTGCCTATTTAATTTGGCATCTGCTGTCCTTACATCGAAATCCATAGGCTTACATTTCAGACCCAGACTCGTATACACTTACATGATCAATAAGCTTACATACAGACCCCATGGACTCTCGTCTGATTCTAAGATGGAAGTCTGATTACTCAATGTGCTGCTCAGATTTTCTCCCTCCACGTCCTTCTACCCTGTGCCTCTTCTCTCGTCACATCCCCTTCCCACCGCATCCTCCAAGGTCAACGTCGGTCTCCCTCTGCTCCTTACGCCCTGCACCGTTGGCGTCTCCACGGCCCTTCTCATTGCATCTTCTTTGCCTCTTCTCTCCACGTGGCCAAAACCCCATCAAAGTCTCCACTCCCTTGCCTTCTCGAGAATATCAGTAACCCCTGCCACCATGGCTCTAATTTCATCACTGGACACCAGGCACCGTACCGCGTAAAACCTCCACCGTGCCAAGAGGGCCGCGCCAATGTCTTGCCCGATGTGTACGCTCGGTAATTCCCGGCGGGCGCAAACGACTCACCCCGATTCCTCTCGATACCTGTGCACTTCGGGAGGGTGTTGCGCACAGAGGTGCCACTAATGGGCCTCCCCTCGGACGTGACGCACCAGCAGTAGCCCGTCGAGCTGTGACACTGAACCTGCGCGCCGCGCGGCAAGGGGCAGACAAACGTCGACGCGGGCAGGATAGTTAACGTCGAAGCCCATGGTCGCAGGCTCCACGATCTTGTGGACAGTGAGGTGAGACTCATGTCCACTGGTGGCCCTGAGCCCACTGTTCGATGTTCCACATTCGAACAAAGACGGCCGCCGCATCGCACGGCGCTTGCGGATGCGCTTCCGCGGCCGTCTGGAACGCTCTTCCTTCCGATATTAGGAAGCCACTGGAGCTACGCACGTTTAAAAATTCAAGATTGAAAACTTAATTCTTTAGAACTGCTCTTTCTGTCAAGTTTGTTGTCCTTCTCCCGCACCTCCGATTAGCACAGTTGGCTACGTACGGTGCGAGAGAAGTTCCAGCATAATACATTGCTTTGGCAGGGCTCCATAGTACAACTACCCTTGACTTCCCCACAAAGTGGTACTCGTGTAGTTGACACCAGCGACATTTTGGGGGTGAGTAAGGCAAGTACATGCATGGACATGTATGAAGTCAATCCGCTGTTGGATGATGGCCTCCACCTGCACTGTGCACGTGGTACGGGTTACTTGACTCTATCTCACCAAACTGGTCAGTGTGGAGGTAGGGAACATAGACTTGGACGCACACAGCTAACAGGACAACGATGGATTGTGCTGCACTCCGCTTTCCTGTCCACCACGTAGCCCCACGGTGGTCACCCATCAGAGCCCGAGCCAGTCTCAGGCATGTTTAGCTTGCGAGATCTGATGAGATCAGAAGCCTTTCGGGTGATTTGGCCATAGGTAAGGCAAGCCAAGCAAAAAATAAAAAAAATGGTCGATACTCTTCGTGATGAAACAAAATGCAACTAGAAAACCTTGGCCCTGAAGGGCCACCGTCGTAAGTCATGATCACTCCACTGCTGAATGAAGGCCTCTCTAAGCCGCGACCGTCTCTCAGGGTCCTGTGAAGCAGCAATCCACGTAGCCCCTGCATACAGCTGATCTCATCGCTTCCCTCCCTTGGCTAATAAAAAAAAATCCAATGTTTTCACGTGAAGTGAAAGAGCCTCAGAAAAATGTATTTGTCGTATGAGTAAACACCAGTCACGATTAACAATGCACCATAACATTGGAAGAGTGCAATATGCTAGTGTTTGTAAGTGGTACAGAATAAACAAACTGGAATTAACTATATTTACCCAATTGTATTCCAAGTGTCCTATCCGTGTTCAGTCAACAGATGAATGCATTTGGAACGCCACAGCTATCAGTGTACCACCCCGAGTGAGAAAGTGTCGCAGAATTGCTGCTCAAATCAACAGGGCCCCTTAATCCACACTTTTAGATGCCCTGACCATTAGTCACATGTCAATCGAACCAAAATCTGCGGTTGGAAAGTTAGAATTTTACCAAATTAAGCGAAAACCTCATTTGAGTATTTTATTTTGGAGCGGTCGTTGGTGGCCAGGCCAAGTGAGACCATTACCTCGCTTGCACTCGCAAACACGGTCACATCACATCACAGCAGCAGCAGCAGCGCAGACTCAGAGCTCTGATCCCTGAGCTAAGCGGCCACTTAGCGGCTCTGAATAGACACCACGTGGTGCCAAGAGCTCGCGCTGGCAACCGCAACGGCAACATCAGTGGCCGTCACTCGGCACCGCTGACCTCTGCGTATGTTCCGTCTTCCTTGCATTCCGGGATGAAACTGTTCTTGTCTTGCCGTTCCTGCGCCCTGGCACGATCTTGCTGGCAACTGGACATTTCTATTCAGGGACGGGAGAACGTGCTCATGAGGGTTGACACGAGAAATTAAAACCATCCGTACAGCCAGGGCCGGAGCCAGGGGGGGGTGACAGGGGTGACATTCTGCGTATAAGTGTACGACTCTCGGTCTGGCGGACTCCGTGCAACTGCATTGTCAGAGTGTGTCGCCAACCGATGGCGTCTAGTTCGACAGCCTGACTCTCTAATCATTCTTGAAATTAACATTTGTTGAATGTCACCCCGGCCTGAAATCCTGGCTACGCCCCTGCGTACAGCCATCCCTTGAGAGGCTTAGTGGGGGTGAGGAATAGAAGGAATGCCCCTGCCTCCCTCCCTCGTCCGTGTTGCCACAAGCAATTTATTTTAGCACAACTACCGCTGATGTGATATCAGCGATTCGTACAGCAGTGGTGTCTTTGGGGGTTGTGCCGCGTGCCATTCAGTGTGGTGTCCGACCTTTCGCTCTGGAACCCAAAGAAGCTTCCAGCACGTGGAGCGAAACGTCAGATGTTGTGCCGAGTGCAACACGCGCTACAACCTCCAACAATGATGTGAAGAGCTGTGATGTGTAACTGGCTATAGCTGGGTTAGATTCATAGGTGGGATAGATTTATAGGTGGGCGAGATTCATAGGTAGGCTAGGTTCATTGGTGGGCTAGATTCATAATTTGGTTAGATTCATAGGTGCGCTAGAATCATAGGTGGGCTAGATTCATAGGTGGGCCAGATTCATAGGTGGCCTAGATTTATAGGTGGGCTATGTTCATAGGTGGGCTAGGTTCATAGATGGGCCAGATTCATGGGTGGACTAGTTTAATAGCTGGGCTAGACTCATCGCTGAGCTAGATTGTATGTAAACGTGTAAAAGTCCATGTGAGCTGTCGTGGAGTATTGTGTGTAACAAATAAATGATAAACAAATTAAAAGTTAATCTCACCACGTAAAATAATATCATGATTGTTCCCCCCTTGACTTATGGGTCTTCTGGGACAATGCTGTCCAGCAGATTTTGCTTGTACTCATTGGTGTTTTCGGTAAAGTCACGTATGCAGAAATAAAATAAAATTTAACTATGCACCAATGGACTAAAAATGTGTTTCTTCTACGTGGAAATAAAAACGCTTTTGTTTATCATTTACATGTAAAAAACAGTGTTGCGTATTTCATATTCACAATTATCACAATAGACTGACTGTCCCTTGTTATTCTACTGCTGGAAGGTGTTGGCCCACGTGGATTGTCTGACCATAACTCCACCACGGCTGGTCGGTGCAGATTGGTGAAGGAGACTACTCCAGGCTGAGTTCAGCAATCGCTTACCACTGACATGAACCGTGGACAAGAATCAACTCAGCTTGCCGGGTTCGACAATCTGTTCACCCTGGGGGACTTCCCCACCTCTCTCCAAGACGTTTGGCCAGCCTAGAAAAGCAGACCCTCAGCGTGCTCTCGCAGGTATATTTGGCGCTCCCGGGCAGTACCTTTAAACCTTTTTTGTAAACGTTATCCACCCGAAAGCGTACGCGTAACCGCGTCTCAAAATTCCACCACCGAGGAGTAACGACGTTCAACCGCCCGCCCGCCTTTGCGCGCCCACCATCCCCTCTGCTCACCGGGGCAGCGTCCCCTCCTCGTCACCTCCAGCTGCGGCTCCTTGCACTTGGCCCTCTGGAACTCGCAGCGCGACTCGTACGTGCGCCCGTTGGAGGCGCACAGCGGCTTGGGCAGCGCGCCCACGCACGGAGCGCTGCACTTGTTCTCGCGGTCGTCGATCAGGAACTTGGAAGGGGTGGGTGGGGGGGGGGAACAGAGGGGAGGGGGCGAGGCGTGGCGGGGCGTTAAAGGCGGGCGACGATGGTGAGGAGGAGCCAGCCGCGTGTCTCCCTGCTGAGTATTCGTGGCGACATCAATGATGATGGTGATGATGGTTTCGCTGCTTCGCTCTCTACGATGTTGTGCTTTGATATCACATCGCGATACCCTCCGCCCGGTTACTGCCTAGGCTTCCAACTTGGGCGCTGTATGTGTGTATGTATGTTGAACTTCTTTCGCACCGTACGTAGCTAGCCATGCTAATCGGAGGTGTGGGGGGGGGGGGGAAGGACAACAAACTAAACACAAAAGGCAGTTCTAAAGAAATTAGTTTTCAATCTAGATTTCAAAGTGCATAGCTCCATTGGTTTCCAGACGGTCGTAGAAGCTGTGTGCCGCGAATTAATTTTCCTTGCACTTAACCGAATATTGACAGCTTCACCACGCTTTCCCCCATCACACCTGCAGCTGTGTGTCCAATATACTTGAGTTTCTCTCTGTCTATGATGATGTGGCCCAGCTTCTTCTCCAATCTCTTTGTAGTGCTACACCTCCGTTTGGTTCTTCTTGCTGTCCTTGCGCGACACAATATTCTGGTCCCTGGCACCATAGTTCAAAAGCTACTGCTGCATTGGTCAAAACAAAGACAACGATACCCCGTATAGCCTTTAACAGACTGTTGGGGCAAGTGGGTGGGTGGCCAACATGTTTACACACCACAACAGGAACTCATTTGAGGCTGAGTCGACCGAGTGGGAGGCCCATTACCGGCTCAGATAATCGTCGCCGGTATTGGCCGTGAGCGGGAATCGAACTCGGGTCGCCGAGTTCCGAGTGTGGCGAGCTAACCACTGCGCCACCGCTCCCCCATTGGACACGCGGGTGTGCACATACATGACATTGGCATGGAGGACAGAAACAAAAACGCCCAGTGCTTTCACTCGCTGCTTGCCAGGACTCTACAGAGACTCAGTAAAACCTTATATTTGATAAGCCAACAGTTTATATATACACATGCATACAATGTGCACCAGGTGGATGTTAGGAAATGCCAAAGTTGAACGGATTGCAAAGGCACAAGCAATGAATGCCAGACATACACGTGTATGCCTTTCATATCTTTGCCAAGGTCTGTAACTAAACATAATTTTCTGGCAGATGTCAAATATGTTTAACATGTTTAATCATTCACTGCATTTTCAAGTGTGTGACAGTCTGCGCTGTTAAACGCATTCCTTAGTTGCAATTTATTACATTTCTTGGCAATGATATCGCTGATATGGGATAGATTTGAAACCTAAAAGCATGAAGTGGCTAAGCCAAAGCCTTTAACATTAATTTGGAAATGACTCATGCGCAAAGCAATGTTTTGCAATGGATACGCAGTGCTGTACTTATAAAGTACGCGCTGCGTATGATCCCGATTTACGACATTGAATGTTTTAAACGGCATAATAATAAAACTATCACGTCCTTTATTTTTCCCATGAGTGGTGGCCATAGCGGTTAGTGCACCGCATTATGAACTTGACAACCTGAGCTCGATTCCTGGCCATGGCTAACACGAATGCCAAGTGATTCCTGAATCTACGCTGGGCTCCCAGTCCTTCCAACAGCCTTCGCTAACCAGCAAGGTGAAGTATGGTCAAACAGCTCCCGTCACCTAAAGTCCGCGCGGAGGCCCTTAATCCAGCAGGGCATGTGACAAAGGGCTGGGAATGATATAATTATTCTAATTTTCAAGAAAAACTTCGGGGCGTTCAGGGGCCTAGTTTCAGCAGGATTCTGCATGTGGGATGTTGATCCCATTTCATCGCTGAGTGTTTGGCACGTGGGAGGAGTACCCAGAAGGGGAAAAAAGTCCTCATTTGCAACGGAGTACCACTCAAATATCTGTCTGCACAGTTTGAGTGTCGAGTTTATTTGATTTGTTACACGGATGATAGTCTCGTTCAGCCAGTTGCCCGACAATGTTACGCTGTAGAGATCTGCGGTGTGTGAGCACAGCAGCAGCAGCAGAAACTAAATACAAAAAAACAACGAAATTCCAGAGAATGAGACCAGGGTCCGTAAGGCACACAGCATTGAGGGATTCAAGAAGGTAGATTCAAGAATTACAGATAGATTCAAGAAGACATCTATTTTTTCTTGAACAATCACGAATAGCTTACCACCTTGAGAATGACCGCGTGATTTTTTTGGGCTGGCCATTGAACAAAGACGGTCACCGCATCGCACGCTTTCAGATGCGCTTCTGTGGCCGTCTGGAACGCTCTGCCGTCCGATATTAGGAAGCCACTGGGAGCTATGCACTTTGAAGTCTAGATTGAAAACTAATTTCTTTAGAACTGCTTTGTGTATTCAGTTAGTTGTCCTCTCCCCACCGCATCTCCGATTAGCACTGTTGGCTACGTACGGTGGGAAAGAAGGTCAACATACATACATTTATCCTCACATAAAGACCTCCATGGCATAGCACGTTTGGTAAGGGGCAGGGTACCGCCTGGCCAATCCCCCCTCCCTCGCCCCTCCCTTCTTTCTAGCTCAGAGCCTGGTCCCCCTCCAGCCTGTGTACTCCGGTGCAGTCTCACCGCCTGCACACTCGATCGCTACGCCACTTACGGAGAGCAGCGTATGCCCCGCGCGAGATGCACGGAACAGATCGCAGCCTTTGTGTGAGCCGTTCCATATCCCAACACGACCCACTAAACTTTCCCAAGTGAAAGTTTGCCAAAGAATTCATGGCATTGACTCTGTGGGTCATGCTACCACGTGACTCCGCATTTGAGCGCGGGCGTCATACGTGGCTGACGTAGGCGTCGCCCATACGAGGGCAATCTTCGATCTATGTTATGAAACAACGAAAAGGACGTTGCAAATGGGAGTATATTGGAAATTATATGTAATTTGAGCAAATGCACATGCAGAGCATTGCCTGTGATATGGTAGAAGACGAAGAGACGTTATGTCTTGCCTGGCTCTCTGGGTGACCAGTGAAATCCCTCTCAGGTGATCAAAAGGGTTTTTTTTGTCGTTTTCCGTGCCTATGCTTTGCCCCCCCCCCCCCCGACCTTATGCGAATCGCCGGTGGGCACGCTTTTGCGTACCATTAACACAAATAAAAGAATAACCATCGAGTTGCTCCGTAACGTAAGCTCGGATCAAATTTACGATTCAAATACATTAGGACGCATGTGGTCTGCTTCCAAACGGGTTGCAGATGTAAGTCCGTCTCAGCACATCGTATAATAAATACCATTACATCATAATCACTGCCACCACGACTATCATCAAGCCTGGTTTTTTTTGTATGCAACACTGCCTTTGGTGCTGAACGTGGTCTTACCAATAACATCTGGCAACCTATCACTCACTCTATGTTTACCAAGACTCACTGCTGGTGAGATGCTACATGTCAAAACTGTTCTTCACTAATATATATACAGTGTATACCATATTATCCAGATTACAAGATGCTCTGAAAAGTAAAACGCAATCCATATTTGAGTCCGGTTTCAATTACAGTATGCAAACCTGGTCACATACAGACACATAACGAACGTGTCTTATAATCCAGAAATGATGGTGTAAATATATGATTTATTCACGTATTTTCCCCGTGATGCACGGCCCACTGAGAAGCAATTGCATTAAGGTGGTATGTAAATCCAAACGACATTGCCCTGTATGAAGAACGACCACTCACTGGATTATATCGACACTGATTAATGAAAGCCTCAAAGGGAAAATAAGCAATTGATCAACATCTTATTAATTTTGTGTTTGCGATGACACCTATATTCATAGGGTGCAGACATTCAACTCCACCTGTTTATTTATTCCAATACAAAGGGGATTATGAACATTTTCAACAATCAGTCTATGTATTTGTAACATTATCTATGCTGAAGGGAAACAACAAAATAATAAAATATATATAAATATTTTATTATTTTGTTGTTTCCCTTCAACGTGACTTTACCGAAAAAACTAAGACTATGAATTACTGCAGTCACGAAAGCTTTAAATCAAAAATTATCTATGCTTTCAACTAAAAACACAACACTGAAAAAAAATCCATAATTTGTAAGAGAAACATCCTATAGAGCACCATCTAAGCGGTGGGAAATGCAACCCAAGGCAGCGTTCACTTTCGATAAGATTTGATCAAGAGTGCCTGCTCTGAGCCACAATGCCATAAACTGTTGTTTACGTTACTGCAACAACAGCTAAAAAAAACGGCGAGAGAGAGAGAGACTTTGTAATGCATGCGTCATGTTAATCGGCTTACAGCGTGGAAAGAGATCAAAGTGTGGCAGAGTGGTTCGATGCAACGGGCAGATAATTCCACTGCACGCAAAAACCGTTCTGGTGCAAATGACCCCGTAAGGGGCGGCTTTCCAACGATAGGGATTAGGAGCCAAGCAAGAGGGCCTCCATAGCCGGGTGGGGTGGGGGGAGGCTCTGTCCTCTGCGTCCGAGTTCCCCTCTCGTCAGTGCAGCGAGCGACGCGTTGACAGCAAAAGAGAGACGAGCCAGCGACGACCTCGATGGGAGCCACGAGTGCGAACCGCGCAGTCCCCCAAATTAAATCTTTGAAAAAGAAAGTACGTCCCAATCTCGACTCTTTGGGCGCTCCTGTTCCATCACCGGGAGCTTCTTCTGGGAGCTCAGTAACTGCAGAAGCTCTTACTTGCACGCGAAGCCGATCAAAAAACGGTACACGCCGAAAATTTGAGAGCTTTACTGGCGAATGTTTTGCACAGTCTTCAATTCCGTAAGTGCTTGAAGAAGTTTCCAGCACGCGAAGCTAAATATCACGGCCTGAATACACATCGCAGGGCTGTACACCACAACTGGAGGCACAAGAAGGGTTGAAGTCATCTCGAGATGCAATGCAATGCTGGGATTCCTGTTTATTAGCTGTTAAATATAACGTTTTGTACATATGCAGCATCATCAGCACCCTCGTAATGGTTTGCCATGTCACGGTACTTTATACATTTTATTTTGGGTCTTTCGGTAAAGTCACGTAGATTGGTTCAAAGAAAACAAAAAAACTACGACGTTTCGATCCCAACACAAGCGGTCGTCAGCCTTTTTTCCTGAATATTAGATTAAAAAAATTGTCATGTTAACATGTCGAGTGCTACTTCACGAGATGAAAGTACACCAATTATCAGCACTTTACCCGACGTTAGAGAGGGTGGTCATCAGAAGGTGATGTCACAGAACCACACAGCCACATTAGGAGGACATGATCTAACACACTCTGCTTTTTGAAAAATAAAAATTGGTGATACTGCATTGGCAGTGGTGCAATGCACAAATAACAAAACAAAATCGCCACGCATTCATGACCAGCCCTGTGTCCTTAAAAGGAAATATAATAAGTGACGTTTTTGGGCAATGGCACATGGATTTATGTTTTATGAAGGATGGCCATCGCACGAAATATCACCGATTTACGCTTCCTTTAAAGGCCACGGTATTATTGGCAAATGTGCCGAGTTTTCAGCTCGAGAAAATGGTCGTCGCATGGAAGTCGAATGTGATGGGGGTTTTTTTTAATCTTTTAAATCACGCAGCTGATATTTTGCTAAAATAATCCACAAAAACTACGCGAGTCGTCAACTCGCTACACTTGAAAACCCGAATCTCGCGCGGATCTCACAAAACCTGGATTTGAACTCTCAACTGTACTGACTCAGCGTTTCTGACGCTGGAGCCAACACTCACCCACGATTATGTGATTATGACTCCCGTCTTGTGTTCACGTTTTAGAGGTTATTCATTTGTTTTGTGAATCCGCGCAGGCAATAAAAGAACGCGCTCAGAGCGCGATGAACGTGTCACAGTGACGGTTCGTACGTTACCTATTGGGAAACAGATTGTATGCACGATCATCTTCATCAGCCATGATCATTCCACTGCTAAATGAAGGCCTCCTTCAAAGCCATCGGGGTCGCTCGCTTTCCCACCATGCGAACAATCCATCGTGGGCCTAAAACTCCACTCTATAATATACGCGTATGGTGCCGTACTGTGGAACAGCCTACCCCAAATCATTGCAATGCAGTCGCGATTACGACCAAGTACAGAAGGGTTAATAACGAATACATTTGACACCAGGGGGACAAAATAAGTCTCGCGTCATCTGTGAAGGTGGTTTGCTCCGTGCGCTCGTACACGCACGCGTCACCGCATCAGTCTAAAGTCAACCAGCCGGTCGAATTGTCCTCGGACTGTCCCACGATCGTCCTGATTCTGCTGAGTAACCACGTTCATCAACATTTGGTCATTGTTATATGACTGAAACGTATCGGGCACAGTAACAGAGAGGCGTATACGTTTGCGGACAAAAGCGCAGCCGTAGGTGGTGGACTCGTACGGCAGACTTCGCTGAAACCCAAAATGCGACGATGAACTTCCCGCCGAGGCTAATAACGGAGAGGCAGCCTAGGTAGAGAGAAAGCGTCCGAAGAGGCCGTCCACCGCAGAGAGATGGAGCGATCAAAATCCGCTCTTGCGCGGGCGTTAGCTGCAGTTATTGTTAGCCATCGCAACGTGGCAGGATTACAAGATGTGACCCCCGACGGCTTGGGGGATTGGGGGCTTCATCCAGCAGTGTATTGACAAAAGCTGATGATAACGATGAGGCTATTGCTTGCCTTCATCCAGCAGTGGATTGGCCGAGGTTGATAGTGACGGCGACGACGACGATGAATGTGGCTATCGGACTATAAGCCTTGCACGTGGCAATGCCGAGTCAGCGGAAAGTGAAGATCAAAACTCTTACCCGGAGTCCCACTTGACGGTGCGCGCTGCACATCACAATGGGCAGCAGCAGGAGCAGCGGCAGGAGCAGCAGCGGGAGGAGGTGCACAGCTGCTGAGCCCATCGTCGCCATCGTCATCAGCGGAGGGGTAGGTGGGGGGGGGACCTTGTTCACGTGTAAGAAGAGGTACAGGCGCAGCCCTGCAATTGCCTGCTTGTGTGTAACTTTCAACAACAAAAAACCTTGGAACCACACGGCCCGTGATGCTCGGTGGGTAGGTTAGGTGGGTTAGGTAGGACTGCTGATAGAGAAAATCCAACCGCTGTTGCCGTGATGCGAGTGCGAGACGCCCGACGTCAAAAGCGCCACCCGAATGAATTCGAAAACGAAGTAAACGAATTAGCAAAACGAACAAAAAAACCAAACACACTGCGTTACACACAAGTCGACTCTGCCTTTGTACGGAGTGACCAACAACGCGCGCGTATCGACGTGCGCGCGTTGCGCGTCCTCGTGTGTCCGCGCGTGCGCGCGTGCGTGCGCGTGTAACTCGTGGACGCAGTCACCGCTGAGCAAGGAGCGGGGGGAGGCTGTGGGTGAGAGAGATTCTTTTGCTAAACACCGCAAAAGGCACCCGGCTTTTAAAAGGCGCTGTCGCTCCAGAGCTACGCATTGGCCTCGCCCCCCGTCCTTGGTTGGCTCCAGGGGCTACCCCCTTTCGTTCTCTGTTTTCCTCTCCCTCTCTTTTCTCTCCCTCTACCTCTTCCTCTGTCTTGCTCCTCTCCCTTCGCTCTCTTTGCTCTCCCTTCTCTCTCTCTTTTCTCTCCTCGTTCTGCTCCCTCCTCCCTCTTCCTACTCTCCCGTGTCTCTTCTCTCCACTCCTCTCTCTCCATCTCTGTACTCTCACTCCTCTCTCTCGTTCCCCGTTTCTCTTCTCTCCACTCCCCTCTCTCTCTCTCTCTCCATCTCTGTACTCTCACTCCTCTCTCTCGTTCCTCTCCTCTCTGTCTATCCTCTACGTTCTCTGTCTCTCTTTCTCTCATCTCTCTCCTCTCTCTCTCCCTGGACTCTCCCTGATCGCTCTCGATCTTCTTCCTCCACCCTGTCTACTCTCCCTCCTTGCTCTCCTCTCTGACTCTCTCTCTCTCTCTCCTCAGCTCTGTCACTCTGCTCTCTCTACTCTACAGCCTGTGTCCCTTCGCTCCTCGCCCTCCCCTCTCTCCTCTCCGTAACGCGCAGAAGGCATCAAACTACTTATACAGAGTTGGACACCCCACTCGGGTAGCGATTGCAGAGTGAAGGGTGTGAGTGGTGACTTGGTAATATTAGTATTAACAATGTCATATCCACATAAAGTACAAACCGTTGTCAATCCACAACTGGATACAGGTCACCCTTACGCTGTTTCGGTCACGAGGGTTTTTTGACCATACTTCCCCGCGCTGGTCATTGCTGATTCGTGAAGGGGGCGGGGTGGGGTTGCGAGGTTGCGCCCAGGATCGGTTCAAATATCAGCCGCCACTGATGGTAGCCGTGGCCTGCAATCCAAACTCAGGTAGCCAGGTTCATAGCGACACGGCTGTACACTGCTGAACCACTGCGCCGCTCAGCACTCCACTGTGCAAGGGGTTTCAGCGGCTTGTGTGCATGCCGTTTAGGGAAGCATTTGGGGGTTCAACTTGAATGGCCACGTTTGCGTCTCTCTGATTCAGTCTCATGGAATCACTCCTCGTTCCCAAGGAAAGCAAACCGCGATGATGTCGGGCCATCAGTCCAGCACTCTCAACCACTCCACCACCGCGTTAACTTCTGAATGCAGGCAAGCAATAGCCTCATCATCATTATCAGCCTTGGTCAATCCACTTCTGGATGATAGGGAATATATTTAGATACACACCGCATTGTCACCATTGTCAGAAGCACATTTTCTCACCCGGTATTTTAAAAGAAACGTATGGTGGCGCGTCTTATAATCCGCTGTGTGTGTGTGTGGAGCGGTGTGCGCACTGCGTTACGAACGCGACGAGCTGAATTCGATTCCCGCTCACGACCAATACCAGTGGCGAATGTTTGAACCGGTCACGTGCATCCCCTAGGTCGACTCAGCCTCAAATGAGTACCTGGTGTGCAAGCATCGCCACTAGCGAGACAAAGGCCACCCTGTCCTCGTGTACCGTAGTGGCCTTCGTAGGTGCTCGCTAACGACACTTGCCCCAACACTTTATTTAGGCTATACGGGAGACCTTTGTCTTTGTTCACACACTGTTGGACTTTTATTGACACCGGGCAAAGTGGTTGCGTGGGGCGCGTGTTACTTTCCGGAGCGTCTTATAATCCGTCGAATGCGGCCCGCATATTTGCCAGACCTTGCTCGATCCACAGCTGGATTGAAATCCCCCCCCCCCCCCGTCTTGCTTGGCTGGCTTGGCTGGCTGCACACGTCGAGTGCATGAGGATTTGTGTGCCGTTTTGGGAGGAGGAGGAGGAGGTGGTGGAGCAGAACCGACTCGCGTGGCTGGGAGCCCAGCAGACACGCACCGCTCGCTCCTGCTACACACACACGATAATATACACACTCTTATTGTAACAACTGGCCTCTTATACACCAGCCACAAGCTGGATATATATACACAGCACACACACACACTGCTAACCAGTCTCCCCGGCCCCTGTGCCGTTGATTTAGCACGGGTGGGAAGAAAAAAATGACCAGGGCTCGTTACGCTTCGCAGACGTGAATTTATCGATCTGGGTTTTTATTTTTTACGCGGTACTTTTTTAATAACTTACATCGCCGCCGATGTTTGCTCGTATTACGGTCACGCCGCAGTCGACTTTGTATGTGTGTGTATGTGTTTGGGGAGGGGTCGTATAGCGGTTTGTGCGCTGCGCTACGAACCCAGCGACCCGAGTTCGATTCCCGCTGATGGCCAACACCAGTGGCGATTTTTTTTAACTGGTCATGGGCCTCCCCTAGGTCGACTCAGCCTCAAAATTAGTGTCTGGTGTGGTGTGTCAACATGATCACTTGGCTGACAAAGGCGGCCGGGCTTGGCGTTGGCCACCCACCCCCTCGTCTGCCGTGCAGGCCTTCATAGGTGCTACTCGCTAACAGCACTTGCCCCAACAAACCGTGTAGGCTACACGAGAAACTTTGTGTTATTTTGTTTTTTTTTTCATGTGACGTTGCACTGCGTTCGCGCGCAGCTTTCCCCCACGGGCTTCTCGCGTGCCCAACGTTTTTTTTATTTCGGTTTTTTTTTTGCCAAGTGCCCGATTTATTTCATGGCTCCGTCTCTCGATTTGCGACCAGGTCGACGTCGGGGATCCACGTCAACTCGCGTTGTTGGGCCAACGTTGCAGAGTTTACTGGGCGGGTGCTCCGACCTCTACCAATGCAATGGATGTCGAGACGGCGTTGAAGAGGAGGCCGACGGCCCCTCTCGGTGGGCATTCGAGCGCCCCCTCTCGTGGAGGCCCTTTTTGTTGTCCCGCCAGCAGTGGCGTGAGCAGGAAATTTGCAGGGCCGCGCCTTTACCTCGTCGTTGCATCATATCGCGAGCGGCGAGTAATGTTGCAGCGGTGTGAGTCAACTAAAGCTTGTGCATTGAGGCAGAATGACCTTACGTCTGGAGAACTCGTGTCCGCCTGTATCCGTGCGTGTGTGTGTGTAACACCGCAAGTGGAGCGGTTAGCGCTACGCTGCGCTACGAATCCGGCGAACTGAGCTGGATTCCCGCTCACGGCCACCAACACCGGTCCTGGGTCTTCCATAGTTCGACTCAGCCGCAAATGAGTTACCTGGTGCGATGTGTAAACAATGCCTACTGGGGATACAAAGGCGGCCGGACGTGGTGCTGGCCACCGACCCCCTCGTGTGCCGTGCCGACCTTCATAGGTGTTCGCTAAGAGCACTTAGCGAGAACCTATGAAGGCTACACAGGGGGGGGGGGGGGGTCGTTGTCTTTTGTGTAAGACCATGATTAATAACGATCGTTTAATTAATGCTAAAGGTGCGGCATTTATGGATTCGGGGGGGGGGGGGGGGAACAAGATCATGCATCTTGATTGATTTTTTTTCACTTTGTAAAGGGCTCCTCAATGTTGTTGTTAATCAAAATAAACGAGAATGCGTGGACCCCTTGCGAATGCGTTTTCAAAAGTCAATTACGGCCATCGCGTCCCCAAAGCAGTGCACAATCGCGCTCCGCGCAGCACGCGTGCTGCGCTGGGTGTCTCCACGCGTCCCGTACTTGTGCCAAGGGGACGAGATGTTTACAGAAGGTCGTGGGTTTGATCCCGACCCTGAAGCCTGTTGTATGTTTGGAGTTTGCGTGTGTGTGTGTGTGTGTCTCTCTCTCCCCTGCTCGCGTGGACTTTTCTCCGGGTCCTCCGGGTTTGTTTTCCTCCACAGTTAGAAACACGCGGTTTCGAGTATTTGGCTGCTACACATTTACACGTGATAAGCCACTCCGTTGGGCTATTATTTGTGGCCAGGTCGCTTCTTCAAAGGAGGTATATAGCTCAGTGGGTCTTCCTACTACATTTAAAATAAATAGATTAGTTTAGTTGCACGTATTTACAGTGCTGCGTCTGATGAGATCGCTTGGAGGGGTGGCGCAGTGGTTAGCGCCTCGCACTATATGAACACGGCGAGCGGAGTTCAACGTCCCGAACACAGCTGGCATCAGTGGCGAGTGAAATCCGAACCGGTCGCGCGACTCTCCCCTCCCCTTCGCCTAACGCGCACCGAACGGCGTGGCGAAGCGTGGCCAAAGCAAACCCCGTGGCCGATACGGCGTCGGGAGCCCTCCATCCAGCAGTGGATGGACAAAAGCCTGTACTGTCACGTCGTTTAAATACTTTGTAAAATGCGCAATAGATTATGCATCCCGTTCCAAAGAAGGTGGGATTTTTTTTGTTCATGTACACGAGCAGCCTCTTATGAATCCCCTGTCGGACGAGAGCCTCACCACACGTTGCGAGTCGCGAGGGTTATCTGACCATACTTCACCACGCCGGTTCGTCTGGTATTGGTGCAAGCTAGACCCAGACCGGTTGAGATGTCGTTCGCCATTGACGGTGGACGCGTTCGGGAGTTGAACTCAGGATGGCCCGGTCCATAGTGCAGCCAGCGTTGCGTTAACTTGCTGGTCCACACGGCTGCCACCCCGTTTCCACGCACGTGGTTATTTAACCATACTTCACCACGCTGGTATCGTCAAGGAAATGTGAATGCAAGGAGCGGTGGCGGTGGGAGCATATAAAGTACAGCTCAGCAATCGGCATTTTTTTCACTGCAATGCCCTCTCTGCTTTTCATCGGCGTTCTCAATAAAACGCGTTGATCGGTTAATTAAAGTTGCCGATTTTGAAAGCGGCCTTTGTCAGAGTCACGCTCGCCCATGTAACCGAAGCCACGCGTTAGCGCTGCACAAAGAGCTCCGTTTACAAACACGATATGCCTGCCAGTGTGCGCGCACGTGTAATGATGCCACTCGTATAGGGGTCATAACACCTCCAACTACGCGCGCCACGCATACGCTGAAACATAAGATCCGTGTGTGCGCGCGGAGGGCATGTTTTAATCAGAGGGGGGCGTGGAAAATCAAATCAATATCTGATTCTGCTCGACTGTAACAGAATATGGGTCATCATCATCAGCAGCGGTCGTGATTTATCCACTGCTGGATGAAGGACACCGTGGTCACTCGATGCAACGACCTGTAAA